TGAAAAGGCACCCCTTTTAATCAGCAGATGCAGGATTTGTTATGCACATGCTTGGAGTCCAAAAATAAATCAAGAGCATTACTAAAATGTGTTATTTACATACACAGAGAGAAAACCAAAGCAAACAAAAACCCAACTAATATTTCACGATCTTACTGTACCGTTCAGAATTCATTTTTCATTCATATGCTGGCCACCCTTTCCCCTGACTGAGAATTTTGTTAACCCCAAGCCATGCTACTTCAGAATTACTGGAGCTAAATTAATCTACCTGTTCTGCAGCTCATCTGTGTCACTCTGTTTTTCAGTGATGCCCGTTTACTGCCTTGTCTTTTACCATTTGGGATTTAAGCTGGTTGCTGCCCTTCCAGGCTCCGTGTCACTGTTTCTCTGAGATTTAGGCATCTACTTTTTTCCTTCCTGTGTTAGCTGTTTCCTCACCATCTTTCATCACTTAATTCTTTCTCTTTTAGCCTTGGTTACTCATTTTTTGCTACCTGAAGCTTCTTCCATTTTGTGCCACGCTACTTCCAAGTGCAGCCTCCTGAACTGCTGGGTTAATATTTGATGTTGTGGCTGGGCGGAGGCAGTGGGGCTTTGCTGCTCTGCTCAGCGAGCCCTCCTCTTGCTGCACTGCTGCCAGTGTAACTGTGATGGTAAGTCAGGATTTAAGCTTAAGGTTGGTTAAATGTTTCATTGGGATGGGACAGCTATGGGCTTGACTGTGCAAAGAGAGGAAAGGTGTTCTCTCTACCTACTCTCCATGTTTACCGCCCATGCTTTTTGTCTGGGGTTTTTTCATTATTCTCTTAAATGCATCTGGTGCCTGCAAATTCCTAAGCAGTGAAGACTTGTAAGGTGCAAACTCCCTCAAATCAGTGCAGTCTGTTGAGTAACTTTTTAAAGTAAAGGTGTTACCATGATACTGGCTTTCACTGTGGTCACAGCCCTGGGGGTTATTTTGTGCCCTGATGTGACCATTCTCATCCCAGCTTGTGGCTGAAAGCTTGGCAGTATGGATGTCCAGAATGAAAATGTTCTTCCTTCGTCATTTGCACCATATTCCTGTGCTTCAGGTCTCTGCCTTGGACTGGAGCTTGAATTACTGCAGTGTCACAACACTGTGGAATTCTTACAAATCAGTATTTAATTTTATTTATCTAAGCCAAGCTGTGCTAGGCGCTGCACAACTATGCTAAATCTGGGACCTGAGTTGTTGAAAACTTCCTGCACAGCAGCGAAGCAGTAAATGCTGGTGTTGTCTTCTTGGGCATGGCACCACCACCACCTCTAAAAGCTCCTCCTGCCAATCATCCATGCAGCAACCAGTCCCTGTCAATATTTCTTTCGCTGTAAGCCAGCATGAGACTGCCAAAGTGACATCCTCGCCCAGTGGTGTTGACACCAACTGCAAATGAACGTAGGATTCCTCCCCCCTCTTTCACCTCTCCTCCTCCCACAAGCACAGGCCTCAAAGAAGAGATGTTCAGACAGGTAATAATTGCCTTTTTTTCACTTAGCTGTGGTTTACCATCTACCTGTTCAGGATTCCTTGCTCAAAGTGTGTTTTATTATTCATAGTTAATAGAAGAAATAGAAATATGCACTGGTTATCAGCAGGTCAAGTTTAAATCTCCCTTCCCTTTCTTCTATGTTGTTCAAGAGGAACCGAGACTTTAAGCTTCCTAAAAGGACATGAAATTAATTTTGTAGCTTGTTATGACAGCACATAAATGTTATAAATACAAATGACTGCAAACATTGCAAACAACGTCTGCCTCTGACTGAATCTCTGCAACAACTCCATCTCACACCCTCCATGTTAACACCTTTGGTGGTATAATCACCTCCCAAAGACAGTTGGCAATCATTTCATTGCTTGATATGTCTAGCAATTTAAGAAAGTTTATCATGGGTGAACATGGACCAGATTAGCCAGAAGAGGCTGAAAGAGTTTTATCCCCCCCCCCCCTCCAAATTTATGTTATTATCTTGTCTAAATTTTCTAAATAATAGAGGCCATAGGACTTGAATTAAGTCCTCCTAAAAATTCAATGCATGTTACTAATTAACATGGATGGGTTTGTTTCCCTGTGCTGTAACAAGTATTTGTAATTTATGTAAACATTGTAAAAATCAGGTGCAGCTCTCCACACCTGCGCTTTTTCACTAGCAATGCATTATTAGCATGTCAGGTTCATAGCGAGTATCTGTAATGTGGCCAGGACAATCTGGCTTTGCGTCCACTGGGGCTTCTCTCATCATTTTTGCTGCAGCAGAGCATGGCCTTAGGGCAGCGATTCCTCTCTTTCTCTATTGTCATTGCGGAAATAATTGTAGTCGCTTCGGAGCTGTAGCACTGTTTCCAATTGTACCTAATTTGTATTGGGGGAGTTGATGCGCTGTGCATGTGGGAGCGGAGGAGCAGTACTTTCAGGGTTAGGGCATGAGGCTGGGAGGGGGCCATTCGGATGCCCACGCTCCTGTTCCTGCGGGGTGCTGCTGCCTCAGAGCAGGGCTTCAGGTCCAGCTTTCAGCAAGTTCACTGATGGGAGCCATGCGTTGGGTCTCCTGCCAGCAGGAAGCAAGAGTTTCTGTCCTTGGGAACATCCGTGAGGCAACAGAATGTTGCAGTTGGTGTATTCTGGTGCGTGGTGCATGGGGAGAGCACCCATGTGGGTCTACCTGTGTGTGCTGGTACAAAATGACGGTTGGACTCAATGATCTTAAAGGTCTTTTCCAACCTCAACGATTCTAGGATTCTATGAAAAGGATGTGGCAGGAGAGGGGAGAAACAGCATGATATTGCCCGCTCCCCTGGTTGCCCCGGGTGTAAGGCATTTCAAAACTGTAGGAAAGAACAAAGTTCATAAACCAATGCTATTTTTGTCATGCTTTATTGATTTCTAATTCATTTTATGGCTACTTTTGAAGCCACAATCCCACAAATTGCCAAGCTGCCTATTGCCATTCTTGCAAGTGGCCCTGTTGATTTCAGGCGGGCTCCCTCCGTGAGCGAGGAGAGCGGAGATCAGCTGAACGCTCTCCCTCTCACTCTGCGAAACACAAGCTACTGGTAGATCAAACACCAGCTCGCGGCCACCTCACTTCATCGAGAAGTTGGCTAAGAGCTATCCACCAGGAGTCACTGGCCAAACAGTTCCCACCTCAGCCTCACAATCATCTTTTCTCTTGTTTCATTTTGCTGTGTGTCACCTTAGTAGAATCAAATAATACTGTTTTTAATTCCTATGTTAAGATAGCAGGTGCAGCTGTTTTCTGCACTTAGAAAGATGTTTGTTTCTTCACAAAGAGCTGTTCATAAAGCTCTGTTTAATATTTTTACAAGAGGAAACATTTGCCACAGTATAAAGTCATTTAAATATTTGCAAGAATTCTAATAGGTGATGATTTTAATTCAAATGAAGCTACTGCTAATCAGGAGACAGAGCTTATGCAGAACTTACCGTTGCAAACAAAAAATATTATTATACAGCCACTTAGCATAATTACTACATAAGAATAGGATCTAGCAAAGCATTAAAGCGAATGTTTGACATTTAGGCATCTGGTTAGAGTTAGTGGGGCTATCATTTTACCTTCATGTTAGAAAAAACCTGCCCTGATAAAGTTTAATTTCTCAGGTTTAGAGCCCATGAGCTTTGCATAAAAAATAAGATTTTATTTTATATGAAAATGTGCTCTGCCATAGTCAGATTTTTTTTTTTATTCTTTCCCTCCCTTGCCCTCAAACGTGTGTGTCTGAGGCTGACACGTTGTCTCAGCAAATTAAGTCAAGCTGGAAGCAAGGGTACAGTGTTACGGCAGAGCAGCAAGTAAGATTTACATTTTCAAGCAAGAGTAGTAATTAGGCCATTGCATATTTTATATCTTCATGTTTATTTTCAAAGCGGTATATCAAAATAAGCACAGATGTAATGAGACATAAGTGCTCCAACAAGCAGTCAGGGTTCATCAAGTAAAAACTACAAATTACTCTTCAGTTTTGCTGCCACCCACAGAGTTTACATCTTTAAAATACCAGCAGGCAGGTGCTCTGGCCAGAGCTAATTGGACCTATAGTTAGGGACACACTGGGTTTCTGTAACATGAATTATGAAGGGAATAGGCCTAATTTTGAGTGACATAGTACTTGGCACCGTGTTGTGGACTTCACTTCAGTGTGTGAGGTATTAGATACTTTGGGCAGTAAAACGGGAAGTTTTAAACTGGTAATGCTGGTGCGGATGGTTATAACTGCTTGACCTGAGGCATCCAGAGCAGTGCCATGGGGGGATAAGCAGACAAGCTTTGAATGCAGGGTCCCAGGTCTGTTGTTGCTGTGGGATGGGGATGGTCTAGAGGGTCCCAAGCTCTAAATCCTCATGACCCAAATTGTCCTCCCTCTGGCTGCATGTACAGTGTCTGTATGCTTGTGTGTGTTTGTTAGGTGAAGTTGCTGCTCTCCGTTGCTGTCCTTAGCAGGCAGCTTGGGCAGTAACCATTATTCTTACCTGTGTTTCTGCACACAGTCTTGCAATGTTTGCCTACACATGCTGCTGCTTTTCCAGCAGAAGTAACGTGACCACAAAATCAGCTGACTGGAACTACAAGTATATGCTAATTTAAGGTTTTCAACCATTAAATCCCTGTAGTATTTCTCCCTGTTTTGGTAGCTTTCTTTATAGTGAGAGTAACTGTGTAAATTGAGCTAGATTTAAGAGAAAAGAAGTCCCTGGAATTAACTCTTTGTTTTTTTCTGCCCCCTTCTTTGCTTCACCCTCCCATCCTAAAGATGCAATCCTTCCCTACTACCTGCTAGAGTACCCCACATCCAGATACATACTGTAAGTACAGTAAGAGAAAACAATCCAGAACATAACCCTTCGGCTTTCTTCCCCACAGATCTGATGGCACACAAGTCTTGTTGTGGCTCTCACAAATAGAAAACAGGTCGGGTATTCCCATCTGCCCTCTTTTGAATTGCATCAATTCTGATTATGAGCCAGAAGGAAGAAGAAATGGAGGGTAGCTCCCCGACACTCTGTGTCACCTGCGGCCAAGCACATTTACCAGAAGAAAACCACTTGTACAGCTACACCGAAGAAGTAGATGATGATCTGATATGCCACATTTGCCTGCAACCTTTGCTTCAGCCGTTAGACACGCTCTGTGGTCACACCTTCTGCGCAGCTTGCCTTACGAACTTCCTTGTGGAAAAAGACTTCTGCCCCATGGACCGCAAGCTTGTGATTCTCCAGACGTGCAGAAAGTCCAGCATACTAGTGAATAACCTCCTGGACAAGCTAATGGTTAGCTGCCCTTTCACAGAACACTGCTCAGAGGTCGTGCAACGCGGTCACCTTGAACAGCATTTCCAAACCCAGTAAGTTGTTGTTGATAGACCTTTTTTTTCACTTTTTCTTAAGGAGAGGAAAAAAAATCTTCAGTTAATGCTGATTAAAATAGACAGTTAATGTAAAGAAAGATTTATGGATATCACTCCCAAGTAACACCTACAGTATCATTAATTTAGAGCTGAATTTAGTCCATTTATATGATGATATCTCACTCTTTTTTTAGAATCAAATGCATTCAAGGTATTTCATACCATCATTAGCAGTTCTGGGCAGATACCTTGTGGTTAGCTGCATAATGGAAGTGTGTATTTAGTCATCCAAAGAGATCTGTGAGTTTTGGGAAGCTGAGCTACCATAAATATTTTAGTAGTACATTAAGGGTTTTATAATTGCCCTTTCTTCGGTCCTTTTTTGAATCGCAAATGACCTATATGAGAACTAGAGCAGAAAATATTCCAGTTTGGTATTGGTCTTTGGAGCAGAGTGCTCCGTTCTTCCAGGTGAGCACGCACTTACCCATTCCACAGCACTGTGGGGCTCGCAGGGTGAGGCGGTGTGGAATTGCTCCCTGGCTGGACTCCCCCTCCAGGCTTACCTCTCCTGGTGGCCAGGACACCCTCTCCAGGGAGCAGTTTAGTTCATCTGCAAGGAGAGAACTGATGATGAATGATCCTCTGTTTTGCAGGGTAAAAGCACGTGCTGCTGCTTTTGTCTTGCATCTTCTGCCTTCTGCCTTCCTTTCAAAAGAGTAAAGAGATGCATTCAGGGCTGTGATTTCTGATGGCAGACAAGTGCTTTGGCATAGTCCGGGTAACAGCACCTCAGATTTGAGGAGATCTTAGATTTGAGGTCTAAGAGATGCCCTTTTTGTGGCCTGTATCTGGTGTCCAGTGAAACGGCTTCCCCTGTAGTTTGCAGGTGTAAGTCACATTCCTAGGTGTGTGTGTTTCTGCCTGTGCATTGAGGAGGAAGCCCTAGGTGACCAGTGCAGTGCTCCAGACTGCTGCTGGGGGGACATTCCTGCACAGACGTGGTAATGCTGAGGGTCAGAGCATCCCTGGTGAGCAGGCTGGCCAGCCGGAGCACGGAGGTGTGTTCACATGGCTGCAGGCTGCAGGGTCTTGAAGTCCATAACTGGAAATAGCTCTGCAGCCTGCAGTTCAAACACATCCCCATTTGAACTGGAGACCTCGTTTCCTGAAGCACCTGGATTCTCATGAGGAATTTATTCACTGAAGATATTTACTGAAGTTACGGTGATTTAACCAACTAAAAAACGGGACCATTTCACATTACTAAAATTGAAAAAAAACATTAGCAAAGGGTTTCTTGACCCCCTGCAAAGGTCAAGAGCCCACTTTTCACATGCTAGAGGCTCAGTGTTTGCGGATTTGGGTGCCCTTGGCCCACCCAGTTCTGGATCTGGCTTTCCCTGTTGAGGGTGCTGCTGTCTCATGGAGTAAGAGGTGGTGGCAGCAGTCTCCAGCCCAGGCCAGAGGTGCTCTGCAAGGTTAGCTTTCTGCTGCTAAGGGGAAAAATTAGCAAAGATACTTATAATTTTCTACCTTTGATCAGCACTTCTCTGACAGGCCTCAAATATTAATTTCAGTAGTAATGCGGGTAAAGGGACTGACAGTCTGCTGTGAGTTGCTGTCACTGAGATTATGTTTCTCTATAGATTTCAACCACAAAATATTGAGCCCTTAGTGCAAATACCCTTTCCCTTTGCCATACATATAGCTGACTTCAATATATTTTAGATCCTCCTTTTTGTCTTCATTTTTTTGAGATGATGGTGCTATGGCCATAAAACTAACAGGAAAAAAACCCCACACACAATGAATAAGCAAATTGGAATATTGGTTTTTACACAGAAGCCACACAACTAGCACAATTCCTGATTTCTAGTGTCAACTCTCCTACATGGACATGTGCAAGCCATTCCAGTGTCTTGGTCTCTTCTCCTTAAGGTAGTAGTAAAAATACCCTTCACAGACATACCTTGCAGAATTGCAGTGTTGTAAACTATGCTTTGGTCCTGTAAAAGCCTGGCGAGTTTTATTCCAGTTCTTATTATTGAATGTCCATGGCTTGGATTTTCCCCTCAGGATCTTCAAGATCCTATGCTTCTGGCTCACTTGGCCTGAGCCCAGCCAGGGGTAGGAAGAATTGGCTTAGTAACATGTTTCCACAGCCTCTGCTGTCCCTCCTCCCCAGTGGCAGGCTGCCCTCACTAAGTCCTGGCTTTGCAAACCCAAGGAGCAGGAGACTGGAGAGATGCAGCAGTGGTCTCGCTTCTCATCAAACCCTAAAGCCTCTAAGGTAGTGCAGTACAAGGTAGTGCTCCATAGGCTGGGCAGCTTTTTCTTTACCACTCATGACATGGATTTTCCTTCCTCTCAGGATGGTTTGGAGGGCTGAGTTACCTTAAGGCCAAAGGTATGGTTATAACTGCAGAGGCTAGGGAGTAGGAAATCACAGGGAACCTTTGCTGCTGGGGGTTTCAGCTTTCCAGGGGGTGAGTAGCGCAGCATCACTGGCACTCCCGCCCGAGGGAAGAATTAGGAGGGTACTTTCTGAGTGAGCCCTAAAGGGCGACTTCTGCAACCTTGTGCTTGCGGAGACTGTGCAGTACCATTATTTTTTTTAAGCACAGCACTAATTAATTATCACCAAAGGTATCTTATACCTCTGCCTAATTTAATTCTCAGAAATGCAGGAATGTCTCTTGCCATCCCACCTCCAACTCATGGCAGGGCAGGAGAGAAGGACATTGTGCTCCAGCATGCCCAGGCACAGACTGAGCAGACTGAGCTGACACCGTTCTCTTTAATTCCAGTGAATCAGTAGAGTGGAGAGAAAGTGTGTGACTTTGCTAATAAAAAAAAATAAAATAATAATCATAAACAATCCGGTGCCTGCAGTGAGAACGGCTCAGAGCCCATCTGAAATCTCGACTGAACGTGATCTGTGTTCTCAGTGAATAAATTAAAGTAGACTCTGCTAGAGTCACCGGGGCAGTCAGCAGTCTTCGCATTTCTTGCATGATTCAGGCTCAGACCAATCCTGGTTCTCGGCGAGAAAATGAAAGTTTGCCCTGATCAGAGACAAGGTCACTGATGGGACAAGGTGAGTTTGCTGTTTTGTGCTTTGTAATTGATGAGAGAACTTTATTATTTTTTTTTAAACGCTGGTTGCCATGGAGTAGTCCATTGAAAGCATCCTTATTTAAAATGTTAGCTCTTGCATCCTTCAAAAAAAAAAAAAAACCCCAAGAAGAGACATGTCCTTGGATTATTACATGATTTATGTTTTCACAAAGACATCTGACTGGATTTGGGGAATTCAGACGGAGATGCAAACAGCCAGCAGTTGGCTGTGATCTTTTGTGGTGTTTTACTTTAAAAAGGTGTGGTCTTCTGATATCGCCTGCTTCAAAACTCCACGGGGGGCATTTTTTTCCCCCCCCTTGTCAGACAGCTACACCCTTCCGTGATGCAGTTTAGCTCGTAACCCATCTGCTTGTGGGCAGTGATGTAAACGCACCAGCTGCCTCTGAAGAACCACTCTGAATCCTGCAGGAGGCAGGTCTCTTCCCCGAGCATCGCTCTCCTCTGCAGCATAAGTCACTGTCTCGCCAACCACGCTGTGCTGTCCCTAAACCCTCACGTCTACCCATCCGAGAGTCAGATCGAGTAATCCTCTTACAGGTCAATGATTTTTGCAGTGTAGCTTCGTTTAAGGGATTTAAGCTCGATTCATAATGTGCTACCATTGCGTTGAAATGGAAAGGCTCGCTTAGAAGGGGCTTGGCTGGCACAAAAGCTTCACGTTGTGTGTCCCACCAGCACAGAGAAACGGTGGGAAGGAGGAAACCTAGCAGCAGTGCCAGCCCTGCACTGAAAATGAAGGCTCTCCTGTTACTGGTCCTACCTTGGCTAAGTCCTGCAAACTACATAGACAATGTGGGCAACCTGCACTTCTTGTACTCCGAGCTGTGAGTACGCACAGTCGCGCCGGCGTCGTGCTCTCTGTCTGTCTGTCTCACCCGAGCAGTGGGAATGGGCTCGCCACAAGCGTTTTGGGGGGTCTGTCTGTCTGCCTGTGTGTCTGTGTGTGCGCGTATGTGTGAAGAAAATTCAGCAACGTCTTGCCAACAGCTTCAAACCGTGCTGCGAACTAGCTGCTTCCCATCCGGAGGGCTAATAATAGCAGTACGTCCCCATTGCTTTCTGCTTTGGAAGCAACTGAGACATACTAAGTGAAGCTGCCTTTTTCCTTATCAATTTGCTTTTCTGTGCCGACATTTTTGGTGGTTGTTGGGTTTGGGGGGTCGTTTTTTTGCTGTTTCTGAATCTGTGTTGTTTTCTTTACTTTCCATAAATAGCTTTGCAGGGGAACTGGGCATAGAGGAGGGCATCAGGATAGACACCCCCAGTAGAGTGCTCTCTGTGTGTATATGCATAATGTTCTGTGTGTAAAGCTGCTTGCCTGTAGCAAAATGCTGAGAAGCCTTTCACCAGAAATAATTCACTTGAGAGAGGAAAGAAATTTCCCGTATTTCTGTTTTTGCCCACAGCAGAATGTTATTTTCTCTGTAATGCGAATTTAAATGTAGCAATCCATTCATATATCTTCATGTTTAAAAAAAAAAATAATACAAAACACCTCAAACTACCCCATAGCTGATCTTTCCAACCCATAAAACAAATATTCTATGGTATCATCTGTAAATGATGCTAGTTTAATTTGTGTTTGAATGTTATTGTACTAGTTAATAGGGCTTTTATGACTAGAAATAGATATTTTTTCCAGTATGTTTTAATTAATTATGTTTTGTTTGTATTTTAACAAATTGTAAACTCTCAAGATCTTCCTTGAGATAATGAATGAAATGGCTAATTCTGCTCAAAAATGAAAAATGACTGTATTGTGCCTACAGTGGGAATGTTCATAACAGTTGTGATTAGTGCCAATGAGACTAATTTCCAAATGATTTTGTCTCTACTGTCAGACAAAAATAGCA